AGTTTGCTCATAATGACTTATGACTATTATTCTGGACTGCAAAGATAAGATGCCATTGATTCTAAGAGACATCTTTATTTTGGACAAGCAGAATTTGGTAATAAAATGCATCTTAGAATTGAGTAAATATGATATTTATATATTATAATAGTGTAATATATTTATAACAGTATTATAATAATATGTATTTTTATAACTATATGAACAATACTTACCCAGAAAATAATGCAATAAAGTTTATTTCTCATTTATAATATTTTAAAAAATTTAAATACATTATATTGTTACTTGAATCTTTAGCTTCCATAAACTATTTGTCAACAAAGTGTTCTTACAAATTTCTTTCTTATAATACTAAGATTTCATAGCCTGTAATTTTTGTGGTATCAGTTTGTAGATTTTGTCACTACAATTTGATATAGTTAGTTGATCAGTTTGTCACTACAACTTCTTCACTTTGGAAAGGATTTTCTCATGTGTTTCTTAAACTTTTGCTGAAAACTGCATTTTTCAAATTGAAAATAAATTGCAGTTGGAAGGAACAAGATCTAAGATCTAGGAACTAGGATTAAAGAGGATGAGACAGGACAATATATTAAATTTTGTAGTGGCATATTATCCTTTGGGCAAAACAAGCAATTGCCTGGAGTCCCCACAAACAGGGTGGCCCAAACCAATCTGTTATAAACACATTACTGTAGAGACGGTAATGAAATTTAAATTTAGGTCATATCAGGAGACCTAGATTGCAGGTATGGCATAGGGTGCACTGGCACAGTGCAGAATTTAACCTGCTAGAGGTCACATTAAAAATTGAACAAGGATACCAAAAAATTCCTTCAAAGAAAAATCTTTGAAGTCAACACTGTACTGTACATGGGGCCTCTTATTCCAAATTTTCTTGGGCCCCAAGAAGCTCTAATCACGAAATTTTGCAGTGGTTTGTACATAAACTTGTAACAAAAATGCTTATTTACTATGTTTTCTAATACAAAATTGCTTCTTTATAATGCTTTTTTAATATCTTTGTGTGAACAAATCTATTTGAAATGTATTGTATCTTCAGCTTTAGAGTTTGGCATTCGATTCTATTGATCTTTTTTCAAATACTAATGCTAGGTAGTAAATGTTCATCTGTGGATCACATGCATGAGATCCAAGTTTAAATCAGATTCCATCGCCACACAACCTGTGACGAAACTTTATTACACGTAGCCCAGAACAAACATATTATACATCCACATCCTCTGGCTACACAGTGGCTGCTGTCCGTGGAAGCAGTGAAAGTGCCGCTTCCCTTGTATTT